AGTCCGGGGGTTCGAAACCAGCCTGGGCAACTTGGTGAGGCCTCATCTCTACAATAAGTCACAAAAAACTAGCTTGACGTGGTGGCATGTGTCTGTAGTTCCAGCTACTTGGAAGGCTGAGGCAGAAGGATCGCCTGAACCCAGCGGGTTGAGGCTGCGGTGGCTGTGAGCATGCCACTACACTTCAGCCTGGGTGACAAAGAGTGAGACTCCGACCCAAAAAAAAAAAAAAAAAAAGTGTATACATTTTTTTTGGCACCTCGGTATCCATAACTTCAAAGTACCTCCCCACAAAATATTTACAAAGGGAAAAATAATAGCTTTACAATGGAGAGAGAAGTCTGATTAGTACCTTAAGTGATCAAAATGAACATCAGAAATGGTACAAGCTGAAATTGTGCACTACCTGACAGGATGCAACAACAAAAAAAAAGAGAACGGCATCTGTAATACTCCCACCAAAAAGCCCAACCGGAATCTAATCAGGAGGAAACAGAAATCCAAATGTAGGGATATTTTACAAAATGACATGCCGATAATCTACAAAAGTCCCAAGAGTCAGAAGAGTCAAGGAAAGACTGAGAACCTGTCAGAGTGAAAGAGACTGCAGACACTAAAACCTAAAGCAACACATGGTTTTTGAACTGCATCCTTAAAAGGCATTATTAGGATGACTGGTAAAACCTGAATGTGGTCTGAAGATCGGATGATAGCCATATGTCAATGTTAACATCCTAATTTTGATGTACTATGGTTATAAAGGAGAATTATTTTTCAGAAATACAAAGGTATTGAAGGGTAATGCAGCATCATGACAATAACTTAATCTCAAAGGGGAAAAAGTTATTTGTACAGTATTTACAACCCTTCTGTAAGTTTGAGATTGTTCCAAATTTTTTCTTTAAAAAGCAGAATGCAGAAAACTAATCAACAGATTTTTACTACTGCTAATGAGCTGATAAAGAAATTCAAAGTGACATATAACTCTAAAAAGCATAATTTAAATTATGGTGAACTTTGTCCAAATGCTGTTTTTCAAAACGGTTTTGGTTTTATGTTAGCAATTTCCCCAGAAATTTTCCTCATGTGTGACTTTCAAAATCTTATTTAAACATACACACACACCCATTCAGATAGTGAAATGTTTTAGCTGCTATGCAGTAAAGTTGTATGAATTCTATTTTTGAAATCGAACAAAAATGCAAATATTACTATAAAAATAATTTCTCCCCCTTGTGGCAAAAATTGAAAATACATTCTACTGGAAAATTCTAATAGAGAGGCACTTAGTATTATTCCTTATAGAGTGTTTTCACATAATTTCATGTGCATCTACCATGTTATACTCTAACTGGTACACAGTATTTGAAAACAATATACTTAGATACTTAGAGGTAGCTTCACAGTTTTTTAAAGTCAGCATTGTCCAGATTCTATTAGGATAACATTCTCTATAGCAAAAAGCTGTCATAGATTTTATTTATTTCACACGTGGTCTCACTATGTTGCCCAGGCTGGTCTCAAACTCCTGGGCTCAAGCAATCCTCCTGCCTCAGCCTCCCAAGTAGCTGGGAAGGTACAGGTTTAATAGACATGCTACAACAAAAGGACAGATGTTCAAAGGAATCAGTTACAATATAAAAATTTAAATAATGGGCAAAAAGGGATAGCCTCATTTAAAGGCACCTGCCAATTTAAGATTATGGGGCATCAGGAAGGCTTTTCACCTCTTAGAGTTTAATCTCCAAAATCTGCAAGTCCACCATTGGAGATTAATTCCTTGAAGTTCTATCCAATCCTCACTTAGTTTATTAATATAAAGATAAGCTGGAAGGAATAGAAATTTTCTTCATTCAATATTCCCAATGGTGAAAACAAAGTCACTCATCTGAGCTATAAATGAAACTTTAACGTCCTTATACCAGATTCCTACTTTCCATCTTTACTCTCCATATTTCCTTCTATTAAGTCACCAGGTACTGATAATTTTATGTTTTACTGACCTTTCACTGACTATAAAGTAATTTAAGTGGTTTTTGAAAGTAAACTTAATTCCAGTTTCAGACTTTTAAATTAAAAGTGGCTCGGTTGGATACTGTCTTTTAAACACAGTAATATAAATATTAGTATCTTGGCTAAAGTGAATTATTGACAATTTTAATACATGTTGCACAGTACATATTAATATAGAAAAATACATGTTATCAGCAGCATAATGTTGACCGTATTCTAATCCATTCCACCTGCTCAAATATTAGTGCAAATAATTATATATTTGTAATGCATCATTGCTGTCTAGCACAAATCTATGCTTTCTGAAAAAATGACTTTCCTCTGAGGTTGTTTGCTATTTGAAGTATGATGTGATATATTCCTATTTAAACTTGCTTTGTATGGTAAGACAGACTGCAATCTTCTAAACCACTTAAAAAATGAGCAAGTGTGTTTAATTACTTATCTTTCTCCCAAAAGTAGATGTTTAATCACAAAAACTAAAGTTTACTGGTACCTATCAAATAACAGTGATAAAATATATAAGGCCTAATACAAAAATATGAATTTTGTTAAGCCCAGGGTTTTCAGTCTAGCTGTTCCAATTCACCAATTAAAATTCCTATTCTAAGTGTCAAGTTTCTCTCCTACACACATTTTTTTTCATTTCTTTCCTAAATTTAGGAAGAAAAATGATTGATCAGTGGTAGAAACAGAAGGTAAGAGTCATGGCAATTAAAAAAAACCTTAACATGCAATTCAATTTACATAAAAACGACCACCTATTGCTAATATACCAAATACCTTTTGCCCTACATCTTCACTCCAGCATTAGCCATTTAAAAACTATCAATGCATTAAACAATTAACAGAATTGGAGAGTTTACAACATTTAAAATAGTCTGGTTTTGCACATTAAAATATTGATTTCTTTGTATACTCCAAAGTACAGTTATCATTTACTCCTATGTCACAAAATTGGTATAAAATATTTGGACTCTTTCTATTGTGAAAATTATTAAGCAGAAAAAGTATTCATAAAATAATACCCACTAAAAATAACTTTGTGATGGACACTTCTCTATTAGGTACAAATATAATACTAAATTAAAATTTCATGACCACTTATAAAATTTTAAAAACCAAATTTAAAAACACAACCACACATTGAACACATTAAAAAAATACAACAGTAAATTAGATACTGGCCTTGAATACCAACTTCATAATCTAAATGCTACAATGAAATTCAAACACTGAATGAAAAGAAAGATTAAGCAAAACTAACTAATGAACCTATCAAAATAAAGGACCTATTTAATGTTACATAAAGAGAATAGACATAGAACATAAAAGTGAATGAGATTTAGGTTTCAATCTGAGCCTTTTACTAGCTGTAGACCTTTGACTGGTCTACTTACCTTTTTGTGCATTAGGTTTTTCATCCATCAAATGGAAATAATAGTACCCAAATACTAGGGTTGCTATAGAATTAAATAATATTTGCAATATGCAAAGGCCTTAGCATAGTGTGTGAGACTTAAATCAATAAATGCAAATATAACTATCCTTATTTTGTATTAAATTTTTTTTAAATTGCTGTTTTTACTTCATGTAGAATATTTAGTCTAACAATATAGACTGGATAGATCTTGTCAAGCAGAGAAGTAATATAGAAACCGAATATAGATAAACTAATTGGATGAAAGCACAAAATGCATGATAAATTCTCGATTAGAAATCAGGAGAATTCAGCATGCTTCTGGAAAACATCTCACACTTCTGAAAAATCTTAAGTAACATACAGAATATTTTTGCATTAAAAAAATGTTAATCTCCCAGATGTGATCCTTTTTAAGTCACCAGCAAATTATGCACTGAGTGAACCCTGCTATCTATCACATACAGTTCAAGCATGCCTTAGCCACTACCTTATAAACATGACAACCTTAAGAGGTTTTATGGCATTTCAAAAACCAGAATCTCTTTATCCAGATCCTTGTATTTAAATATTCACCATCATAGGTGAGAAAAAAGTATTTAAGGAAGCAGTAAATTTGCCACTTGGATTCAGTCTACTGACTGATAATTAAATTATTTCACTGTGAGCCAGAAGGCTGATATTCGGAAAGTAAAATGTTTAGAAGTTAAGGAGGCAAAAGAATGGTCTAAAATATAACATAAGTTAACCTACTTTTAAATTAGATTTTAATTTGATCTACTTTAAATTAGCATACTTTGGCAACTCTTTTTAAAACAAGGAAGATTCTAAGGACATGCAATGATGGTAGTCCTTAAAATGAGACCAACAGCTGTTTTAGGATGATCAGATAGTCATCTATCTTTCTAAAGACCCAGCTGCTTTTAAAAACAATTCTTCATAAGGACTCTTCATCTACTCTGGTTGACTGTCATTTTCAAAATCGTAATTTACAGACGCTAGACTTCCTTATTAAACCTATGTTCTGTATTTCAGATGAAATATTCAAATTTAAGGAAAACAAACTGCAGTGTCTTAGAGCATATTTTTGACTCTCATGTATTATCTAAATGTTGCATATTAGCTAATGTGAAACTGTGGAATATTGCAAACATTTTCCTTATTAAGATGTTGGCTAAAGTTACCAATATACAAAGCTCCATTATCTCTACCTAAAATTTTGTCACATGCATATGAAAAACATTTTACTTACTGATCATCTCTTGACTCATAAATTTTGGGTAAAATTTTACAATGGCTATAAAAATGAAAATACTTTAAAAATCAGAATACAAACAATGCATATGATTCACACAACACATTGTTTTTTCATAGAGAAAGACCATCTTGTTTAGGCTAAGTTTCTAATCTTGGTTAGTCAAGTATTTTTCTGCTAAAAAAGGAAGTGAGAAGATCTATGCTCTGAAAAATTTTTAAAAGCTTAGGATTTTAAATTAAAAATCATTTATAAAACTCAGGATGAATGGCCTTAAAATGTAAAAAGAGTGAAATAAAAAAAAAAAAACAATTGCAGGGAATTTGTTTATTGAGCATTAATGTTAACACTTCTAAATTAAGTATTCACTTATAAGTTTCTCTGTCACTGTCCTGTCAATGGACATAATAGAAAATATTGCACAGAACTCAAGCATGGAAATAATAATTAACAAAATGTCTAAGTAACAAGTATATGCTTTACACTTAAAAAATTAATCCAACAAAATAATTTGAAGCACTCCTCTGATATGGAAGTCTTAAAATGTTATCTCATGTTTTATTTGAGATTTTTTTCTTTTCTTTTCTTTTCTTTTTTTTTTACAAATTGACACTGTACAAAGAGCTCAAATGGCCAGTAAAACTACTGCCTTAAAATTGTTGGCTTTAAGTAACAGAGGTATAATTTGAATTCACATCAGAGTTTTCTAAAATGGCAACAGTACAAGCATATGACTTTCTCTAGTATCCAAAACCTGTTCTGGCTCTTCCTTGGCTAAGGAATATAAAACTAGATAGCCTTCTAAAGCTGCCACCATGTCCTAAAATGCTTTGACAAAAGTTGGCATACTTGATTTCCCTTGTTTACCTTAACACTGGGCTAAACAGAAAATGAAGAAAATTCCATAAATAGTAACTTAAACAGTAGTTAGTTCTGGACCTAGAAGGTTTGGTAAAGTTGATGGCTATTCAGAATAAGGTTATCATAAGAAAAGCAGTTTTCCAAAATTAGGCCAAAAAGCCTACATTAAAGAAAAAAAAGTCAAGAATAAATTGAACATTTAAATTTATCTGTTGCTAGAAGACCATGAACAACACAATGAAAGTTGAAACATTAAATATAATTTAGAACGCATTCTCACAGAGCAAGTTTATATGGTTTATAGAATAACGACCTTTCTAAATTTTCACTTGATGTTTAAAATTTTATAAGTGATTTATTATGTCACCAAATTAAGCCAATTCTATTAACTATATTCAAGTAGGAATAACTTCAAAAATGCCTTGAAAAAGGATAATCACAGATTTATAGATATGAAAAGCAACCAGTCTTTGCAAAGCTTGTCTCGAAACTTAGAATGGTATCTATCAATTCCCAATTCTTCTTCAAATAAAAGACTACCCGCATGTTCAACTGTTCCATCTTATTCAAGTTTAGCATTAAGACAGAAATCTTAAAAGATTGCATTGTTGTTAAACACTGCCAATATTTCTCACATGCACCAGTTAGACTATACCTCACTTTTTGAACTTCCCTTATAATATTAAAATAATGAATAAATATGGTTCTTTAGCTAAGGTCCTCTACCTTATCTTAAGGAAATATAAAATAAGGTATTTTTACTAATTTCTTGCTAGAATTTGGCTTAAAATCTATTTACCAAATAAGAAATAGTAAACTTTTTTTACCCAGAAAGCAGATGTATTCTGATCCACTACTAATATCGACATAAAACACTTCATCATTTTAGTTTAATTTATGATATTTTTCTTGGAATAGTATTAATGTACCTCAGAAAAAAATCCAACCAGTCACCTCCAGAAAATATGCTTAATTGTTAACCTTTTGAGAGAGGCAAAAAATTCTTTAAGAAAACTTAAAACAACTTTGATTAACAATTACCAGTGCTGAAAAGATCATTAAAACTGATAAATAATAAATGTGGTTTTGTTGTATTTCACCTATTTTTAATGCAAAACGGACTGGTAAAATTTCCAAATGGAATATGATGAAGTATAAGAAGCAAAAACACTGGTAACATTTCATCTGCCTTCTGACACCAACGTTTTCCAGGATGAAACAGTGGCATGTTGTTTTATAAAATCTGAAATTTATAAATTCAAGAATAAAATTAAAATTCAAGTAAGGGGGAATCAAAATACAGTCAGTGGTGTTCAAATAAAATCCTTTTTTTTTTTTGGGTTGGAGTCACAAATAAAATCTTAAAGATAAATATGGCTGCTGTTTTCTTCCAAACAGTCATTTTTTCATAAAATGTTAGCTGTGTCATAAGGAATCTCCTGTGCTTTCTATCAACTAAGGTCTACTGAATTACAACTCATCTCCTCTGCAAATTGATCCTCAGCTGAAGTGTCGAGCAAGGCGGGCAGATCTGTAGTCAGCACGAAGTTGTACGAAGGAGTGAAGTATGTTCTTGTCCAGATTAGCAAGTTGTTCTCCTGAGCAGACTTGCTTTAAATTATCTGGGGCAACTACCAGAAGATTGCAAAGTGCATGCAGAGTATCAAAAAGATGTAATACCATTGGAATCTGAATTAAAAGAAGGAAAAAGAACATTGAAACAAAATAATTTTCAGTTTTACAATTAATTTGTAACTACCTTTTACTTACACTGTCAACCAGGATAATGTGGGAGGAGCTCAATATATCAGAATTTCTTAAAGTCCTAAAGAGTTATAATGCAAAGATTTTGGTAGTTTTGAACACTGTCTTTTGAAAAGATTCATATTATGTCAACCTTCTTCAATAGTAACAATCATTTATACTTTGGTGGACTAGAACTAGTTATCGTTTATATAGCTCTTAAATAATTTAAACCTCAGGGCAAAATAATTTCAGAGAGATATACATGTAGAAAGAACACTATCTTCCTAATGTGTGACATATACAGCATTAGCCATGATGTCAATAAGGCCAGGGCTGTGGAACTAAAAATAAAGCATGAAGCAAAAATTTATAATATAAAAAATATGACTGGACCAACACTTTTTCAGGATCTCATATAATATCAAGAAAAGGTATAAACTTTTCACTAATTATTATAAGAAAATACAGATTTTTAATGATCTGACATGTTCTTGAGTTTATCTGCAAGTTTCACATTTGTGTATACATACCTTGAAGTCTTTGGCACACTTCCTATATTCAGCTACATCACAAATTGCTAACATGCCACCCATACAACTGTAGGAATATTGTTGAAGATGCTCATAAATAAGCCGGTGAAAACGTACTCCAAGTTCCATCAAAACTGTATCCACATTTTTCCCATCCATGGAATTTTTAATCTTTTCCACTTGTTTTCTTACATAAGCACAGACTTTTACACAGGCCTGTAAAAGTTTTTCTACACTTATTATAGAGAAATGTATATCAGTTTAGCTAAAGAGACAATACATAGTTTCTCACTGATCTCTAAGTATAAAAGAAAAAACACTTAGGGCACAGTACTATACACCAATGAAAACGTTAACTTTGTATTAACAAAGCAGACAGTCTTATTAGCAAAATGAACACTTTTACTCACATTGGTGTACTGAATCAAAACATTGTTTTCATCCTCTGGCTTAAAATCCGTTTTCTTTTGTTCTGCAGCCAAGATGTGCTTCATCTGTCCAATCATACAGTTTAATGTTCTAGAAAATTGAGAACACAATGTACTTAATCACTTTATTCTATATTAATATTTAATTATATTATTTATGTTAATTAAAATTATTTACTTTCATATCACCATAAAACTATTTTGCTATTGGTAAATTTGAGATTTTATAAAAAGTAAGCTCTAGGTCTTAATATGAAAAAGCTCTTGAATTTATTAACTTCCTGTTCAAAACAGGACACAGATTATTTGTAAAATATTTCAGGAAATCTTAAAGATCTTAGAAGCCTCTCATTAATTTATTTCCTTAACAACTAAGATCTTCAAAGGCAAAACTGTATATAAGCTAAATATCCCTTTTCTGAAATGCTTGGGACCAGAAGTATTTCAGGTTTGGGATTTTTTTGGATTTTGGAATATTTGCACATATATAATAAGATATCTTGGGGATTGGACCCAACTCTAAACACAAATTCATTTATGTTTCATAATCTGAGGGTAATTTTACACAATATTTGTAATGGCTTTGTGCATGAAACATTTGTGTACACTGTACCATCAGAAAGCAAGGGTGCCAATATCTCAGCCACCCATATGGACAATCTATGGTTGTTGGGCATCAACACCATTCCTGATTCTGAATTTTTATGCTACCCATAAGCAGTCATTTTCTTACACTTATTCACACAAAAGTACTTAACAGTAAAAAACCTGACATGCCATTAATACAGTGAACAAAATGTGTTCAGGGTAACTAAACAGCACAGTAGTATAACCAGAATACCTGTGTCAGCTGTTAAACACAGCAACAACAAAAAAATAGCAGGCTTTTAGTCTCTACCTATGATGCTGTGTTTTGATTAAAAGGATACTGTGTACAGTGTTTTTTTAGTTTAGAAGAAACATCAGAAGCAGTTGAGGAGCCAAAAAGTGTGTCCTCTAGGGATGAGGCATTCTGCTGGATAGCTTTTTAAAATGTTTCCTCCAGAATCATCTGTCTCATTAACAATATTTTTTGTCTTAGAAGTGAGTCTTGATTTTATCAACTGACATGATTCTTTGTTCTGTAAAGAATGCACACTGTAGCCTGGCTCGGTGGCTCAGCCCGCACTTTGGGAGGCTGAGGTGAGTGGATTGCTTGAGCCCGTGGGTTCGAGAACCGCCTGGGCAACTAGGCGAGACCTCATCGCTACAATAAATAAAGAAATCAGCTGGGCATGGTAGCGCATGCCTGTAATTCCGGCTACTCGGAAGGCTGAGGAGGAAGGATTGCTGGAGCCCAGCAGGTTGAGGCTGCAGTGGCCGCTCCGGGCCATTGCACTCCAGTCTGGGCAACAGAGTGAGACTCCAACTCCAACTCCAAAAAAAAAAAGCATGCACACTGCTCTAGCTCTTCAATAAGTCCATCACGCATTTTCACCATGTCATCTACAGGCATTTGTTCTGCAGTGTTAGCAATGTCATCTTAATTGCCACTATTATCACAATCACCTTGATTCAGAACAATTTCAGTTACTTCACCATTGGTCAATGAGTGAAAAACTGGAGTCTTATCATCTATGTTAAAAACTTCTTTGATGTTCACTTCTTCCAACTTACTGTTGGATTCTGAAGGTAAATTTTTGCATAAGGTCAGACACCATTTTTTTTCCTCACTTGATACACAGAATCCTTCAAAGTTACCACCTTGTTCATAATCATCACTTAACATAGTCATCATACAGAGGTTATGCCAGGTAAGCACAACTGTGTCTTTAGTTACTTTTTTCTAAGCATTGGCAACAGCATCCTTCAAGCTAAACTCCTTTTGAAAACTTTCACACCTATGCCTCTGTTCACTGCTGTTAGCATGAGGTTCAAGAAAGTGTTTTTTTAATATTTATTTTTCATTATCTAAGGATACCTTGGTCACTAGCTGAGTTAATGAAGTCACATTTGGGAAAAAGTACATGACATAAATATTATTGATGACAATTTCAGTTAGAGGATGAGGAAAACAGTAGTCAAGAAATAAAATCTTGCAGGTACTTCCCTGCAGTGAAGTCTAGCTTCCCTGCAGTGAGCACAAATCACTAGTATAAAAATGTTTGTGAAATAAATCAGAAAACATGACCCAGTGATCCAAGACTTTGTTAGCCTAATAGTGAACTAGCAAGAAACTGAAAATGGTGAGGACACAAGCTTTTGCCTATCACAGCAAGTTTACACTTATGAGTGCCTGCTGCCTTAGCATATCCCAGCATTGTTACTCAGTTTTTGGCATCCTTAATTCCTATTGGGGCTGTCTCATCAGCTGCATTGTTGGTGTCTTTGTGGGACAATGACACCATAATAGTCTGGTGTCAGATTTTCATCAGCGGTGACCTTAGCAAACTTGCAAATGAATTTCTCCGTTGCTTCATGATCAGCAGATGATTTATCATCTCAAATCTTTAAAGACTTAATGCTGTGTCTTTTCCTAAATTTCTGCAACCAGCTGTTAAATTTTCACAGTTCTCTTCAATTTTCAGGTCTTCATAATAGACCTTTGCTTGTTTCATGATCAGCATACCACTAAGTGGCATGTGTCCACTGCAATACTGATAGATTCATTTTTTCAAATACACAAATCGAGATCTTCATTTTTAGCTTTATGTAGTGTTTTTTCTATTTTTTATCTTCTGTTCTTCACTGTCTTTTTTTCTAATTTATATTTTATTTTAAAGATGTGTGGTATAATTCAGGATTAGGTATACAACTGGACATCATACAGGTAAAGTTTGGGCCTTCCTTTGGTTCCCACTTTGCCTGGTTTGAGATAAGGTACCCTTACTGATGTTGTGCACTTCACCCTCATCATTTTCAGCACAGAACTTCAATAATTATTCCTTCTGTTTCTTCAGGACATATATGGTGGTCATTCCAACACCACACTCTTCAATAAGACACTTCACATTTACACTACTATCCAGTTTGTCCAACTGCTTGACTGTGTTATAGATAAAAATAAATGCTTCCTCTTTTTCTTATCACTGTTACTCATAGGGGTACCTGCAGGCCTTTTTGAGATTTTCAACAATATTTTTACACAACCGGAAACAGAATAAGAAACAAACCAACCACACAGTGAATAATAGTGCACGTAGGTCTTGGCCCCACGTGGTTTATATAGAAATAGATTATATAATTTATTAAGAAGATATCTAGAAAATATATATTTTATATACTTTGAAAGCTTAAAATATTAAACTTTCCTTCTTCCCCAAAATGATTTTCAGGTATTCTGAAGCAAAGCAAGAAGAAACAAATTAATGTAAGAGATTTAGGTTAGGAAAATATATACTTCTTGGAAGTGAAATACACTATAATAATGTTAAATGAAGTTCTGTGTATGGGTAATCTCATATTCAGATTTAACTAAAAACAAAGAGAGACTACATACCAACAAACTGAAGAACCAGAAGAAATAGGAAAGAATGCTAGCCCTTTCAAATAATTAAAGAATGGTAACACTTCCAAATTCATTTTACAAGGACAGTATTATCACGATACCAAAGCCAGAGAACACAAAAGAAAATTACAGGCCAATATCCCTGATGACAAGATGTGAAAAATCACCAACCCTCCCCCCCCAAAACCAAAAAAACAGCACATTAAAAAAAAGATTTTACACAATATTCAAGCAGTTTATCCCTCAGATTCAAGGATAGTTCAACATATGCAAATCTATAAATGTGATACAGCACATTAACAGAATGAAGGATAAAAATCATATGACCATCTGAAAATATGGGGAAAAAAGCATCTGGCAAAATTCAACACCCTTTGATGACAAAAACTTATAATGAATTATATACAGGAGGAATATACCCCAAGATAATAAAGACCGTATGTGACAAACATCAAACTCAACAGTGAAAAGTTGAAAGCTTTTCTTCTAAGATTAAGCAAGACAAGAATACATAGTCTCACCACTTCTATAAACATAGCACTGTAAATCCTTGCAGAGCAATTAGGCAAGAAACAGAAATTTAAATTGAAAAGAAAGAAGTAAAACTGTCTCCTCATGCAGACATGAGCCTGAATATAGCAACCCCTAAAGACTCCATCAAAAATTTGTTAGAAATAAAAAATGAATTCAGTCAAGTTACAGGATACAAATTCAACATACAAAAGGCCGGGCTCGGTGGCTCAGCCTGTAATCCTGAGCTTTGAGAGGCCAAGGTGAGTGAACTACATGAATCCGCTGGTTCAAGACCTGCCTGGGCAACTTGGCGAGACCTCATCTCTACAATAAATCAAAAAAAAAAAAAATTAGCCGGGCATGGTAGTGCATGCCTGTAGTTCCAGCTACTTGGAAAGCTGAGGCGGAAGGATTGCCGGAGCCCAGCAGGTCGAGGCTGTGGTGGCTGGGAGTGGCTACTGCACTCCAGTTTGGGCGACAGAGTAAGACTCCAACTCAAAAAACAAAACAAACAAACAAACAAAAAGATACAAAAATCAGTCATATTTCTATACATTAACACTCTATCCAAAAAAAAATTAAGAAAATACTCCCATGTACAATAGCATCAAAAAGAATACTTAAGAATTAACTTAACCAAGGAAGTAAAATAATTATACACTGAAAACTACAGAACATTGCTGAAAGAAATTAAAGATATAAATAAACAGAAACACATCCTGTGTTTATGTATTGAAAGAATCAGTATTGTAAACATGTGCATACTACCCAAAGTGATTTACAGAGTCAACGCATTCCCTATCAAAACCCCAGTGGTATGCTTCACAGAAATAGAAAAAAAAAAATCCTGCAGAATCACAAAAGATCCTGAATAACTAAAGCAATTTTGAGCAAGAAGAACAAAACTAGAAGCATCACACTTCCTGGTTTCAAAATATATTACAAAGCTACAGCAATAAAGCTATCACCATAGTAATAAAGCTATAGCTACAGTATGGTACTGGCACAACAACAGACATACAAATCAAAGGAACTGAATACAGAGCCTAAAAATAAATTCATCCATTTATGGTCAACTGATCTTGAACAAGAGTGCCAAGAATACACAATGGGAAAAGGACAGTTTCTTCAATAAATGGCAGAGAAAACTGGGCATCTACACACAGAAAAATAAAATGGCACCCTTGTCTTATACCATATACAAAATTTCAACTCAAAGTGGATTAAAGACTAAAGACTTACAACTGTAAAACTACTGGGAGAAAATAGGAAAAAGTTTCTTGGTACTGGTTTTCACAATGGTTTTTGGATATGATCTTCCCCCAGAAAAAGGCAACAAAGGCAAATATAGCCACGTGACATTGCACCAAACAAATAAGTTTCTGCACAGCACAGAAAACAACCAGCAGAGTAAAGAGACAACCTATGAAAAGGGAGAAAATATTTGCAAACCATATACCACATAAGGGTTAATTTCCAAAACATATAATAAACTCAAACAAACAAAAAAACAAAAAACAAAAAACAAAAAACCTATTTAAAAAAGGGCAAAGGACCTGAAGAGACAATTCTGAAAGGAAGACATACAAATGCCCAACAGGTGCTCAACATCATCTGTTAGGAAGTCTAATTTCAAAAAGGCAATAGACAACAAGTGTTGGCAAGGGTGTAAAGAAAACAGAATACTTAAAGGGCGGTGATTGTGGGAATGTAAATTGGTACAGCCATCATGGTAAACAGTATGAAAATTCCTTAAAAATTAAAAATGAATATTATACTATATGATATTATATGATCTAGCAATCCCTCTTCTGGATATACATGCATACTTTGCTTCACTGCATTCTACTTTATTGTGCTTCAGATACTCTGTGTGTGTGTATTTTTTTTTTAAAGCAATTGAAGGCTTGTGACAATCTGCATCAAGCAAGTCTGCTGGTGCCATTTTTCCAACAGCACGAGCTCACTATGTGTTTCTATGTCACATTTTGGTAATTACCATAATATTTCAAATTGTTTCATTATTGCTAATATGTTACAGTGATCTGTAATAAGTGACCTTTGATGTACAACTGTAATTGTTTTGGGGTACTGCAAATTGTACCCATATAAGACAGTGAACTCAACTGATAAATGTTGTGTATGTTCTGACCCGCCATTCCCCTGTCTTGCTCCTTTCTCCTTAGACCTCCCTATTCCTTGAGACACAATGATATTGAAATTAGGCCAATTAACAGATCTACAATGGCCTCTAAGTGTTCACGTGAAAAGAGTCACACATATCTCACTTTAAATCAAAAGCTAAAGTGAATAAGCTTAATGAGAAAGGTACATCAAACACTGAGAGGACAAATTTAAAAAATTCAGGATCCAATAAAAATAATATTCTAATAAGGATGAAAGCAATCTGTAAAAATAAAATCAAATATTACAGCAAAGTGATAGAATTAAGACAGACTTTTTTCTTCTCTAAAAAGAATTTTCACGTTGCTAGGATATAGTGTTTATATAATTTTAAAATGCAAGAGATAAAATAAAACCAGCAACTTGCCTATCAATGCCAGTATCCAATTTCATCTCCATTTGTTCAATTATTTCCTTTTTCTTCTGAAGGCATTCAGATAACTTAGGAGAAGAGCTATTGTATATTTAAAGGAGGAAAAAGAATCACTTTAATAGTTTAATAATCTCTAACAGTTTTGCATATGTCTGTGTATTACACTAAATATATTTATAAATATATACATACACACATATTATTTTAATATTGCTCACAAATCCAAGAAACACATAAGAAGTAATTATTGAGCATTTTCTATGCCCAATTCATTATAATAGTCACACTAGGAAAAATTAACCAATTAAAAAGGAAGAAAATTTAAATAATAATTTAAATTTATTATTCTGATCTCTGAGGAGATACCTCTTAGAGAATAAACATGTAATTCTGAATTTTTTTGGTTTCTTTTATAAATAAACATCTCATATAATAATAAAAAAAAAGTTACAGGGTATCACCAGAGCTTTAAGAATATATTTAGGACTGGGCACGGGATTCAAATCTATAATCCCAGCACTTTAGGAGGCTGAGGTGAGAGGACTGCCTGAGCCCGCAGGTTCGAGACCAGCCTGGGTTACATGGTGAGACCTCGTCTCTACAATAAATCAAAAAATTAGCTGGGTGTGGTAGCACGTGCCTGTAGTTCCAGCTGTTTGGAAGGCTGAAGCAGAAGGACTGCCTGAGCCCAGCAGGTTGAGGCTGCAGTGGCCGGGAGTATGCCAATGCACTCCAGCCTGGGTGACAGAGTGAGACTCCAACTCAAAAAGAAAAAAAAGAAAAAAAAATATGTAATCATACTAATTAAAATTTGAAGGCTAACAGCCAATTTAGTAGTATTTAACTTTCCTAAAAAACAAACGAACAAAAAAAAAAACCATGACAATCATATTGCCTTTGGAATGCTGCTAAAATGTGAAAAACACCCAAAATTAGGGCATGTGCAACCCTAACAGCTGTGTGAATTCCCTACTGTAGTATCTCTTTAAAAAGGAAATTTCCTTTCAAAGTATGGCTCAGAGCCAAGCATGGTGGCTCACAGCTGTAATCCCAGCACCTTGGAAAGTGGAGGCAAGAGGATTGCCTGAGCCGGGGTGGGGGCGGGGGTGGGGGGGGTGTATGTGATAAACACCATATCTTCCACTATAGGGATCAGATTTCACAATACCTCAGTGAAACTGATTATGGATGGATGCTACAGGCACTGCACCTTATTCCTTCTTAATTCATTTGTGAGTAACTCCATAGTTTCTGTGAGTTTGTCCCCAGTCAAAAATTATTCATATGTCTACCGTGACAAAGTGACAATCTTTACTAACTGTGAGATTGTACATCTTCTGAAATTTCAGACCCTAGCTATTCAACCTGCTTTTAGTTTTCTGTACCATCATAGTATTTTCTTTACCTCTAATGGAATCTTTCTAGCCATGTAATACAGTATTTTCTCATTAAAAACTTTGGCAGTGTCAAGTAC